TAGACCTGAGACGCCGGCCTCGGTTGATATTCTTCCGAATTCTGGTTTAGAAAAGAAGAAGGATAAAAAGTCAGATGGTGATGCTCTTAAACTTTCGTGCACGGAAGATCTTCGACTGGTAATCAGAGAAAAAATCCTTCCTAAAAAATCGAAAAAAAACGTCAGTGACGAAAACATCAAGGTTATTCTTTCTGAATCAAACAAGAAATGTAACTCCTTTCAAAAGATCATCAATTCGAAGTCTTTGACTGAGGTTGAATTCGCTAAAAAGAAGAAGGATAAGTCTAAAACATACTCTTCCAAGCCGAATAAGCTAGACGACTCACCTGCTACCAAGGATGAAACCTCTTTGCAGCTTCCTAAGCAGAAAAAACTCAGAGGGAGAAAACGTCGGGATGATGAAGATAACGAATCTGAATGGGAAAATCAGCTTTCAAGTGGTAAAATGGAAACTAGTGCGTGCAGCATTGGCGTTCACTCATCTAGCTTTGATCTGCCTGACACTATGTACGAATCTATGTATGATAAGATAAAAAGGCGAGCTAGTAAAGATATAGGACGAAAAGATGGAGATCTAGCACGGCCAGCTCTCTCTGAAAGGCTTACCCTAAAAAAACCCAAAGTTAAACTTCATTCTGGTAAGAAGGAACTGTCTTCTGCGGATTCTGACACAGATGAATGCTTTAGTGATGAAGGAAATAGACATCAACACCTTAAGAAATCAAAACAACAATCTAGAAAAAAGTCCTCCGGAAGTGGGGGTGGACAGCGTCTTCTTCAACGTCCCTGTATTGATAGTGACAGTGATTCGACCGATGCGGAAGCGAATGCTTCACCAAAGCTTAAAACCCTCAGTCGGACTGGTAACTGCAAGCAGAAAAAAGCTCCTAAGTTGGCTAAAAGCAAAAATCAAAATGTGAAAAGGGATCGCATCGAACCCAAAAGCGACGAGTCTAATTCCTCGGGGGAAGAATTGATCGTTAAAAACGGTTCTCAAAAGAAGATTAACACAAAAAGACTTGTTTCCCCCGTAAATATCAGCAGAAAGAATTCTACGAAATTGGGCTCTGAAGGCAAGCAAATTCCTAATAAGAATAAAATTAATTTGGAATTAAAGGATACACAAACTTCGGTGCAGTTATCGATTGCAAGAAAGAAACATAAATGTAATATGATGGAAGATAAAAAGCCTAGGAAGCCTAGGGCTGAGAAAGATCGCCAGCACCAGAGTCTCCTACATCGAGTTTTCGCCTCAACTGATTCGGACACTCCTTCCTCCATGACCGCATCATCATTGTCACATTCTTCTGATGAGGCGCAGGCTGAGCCGCCTCAGCAGGTATTTTACCACACCGATTCCATAAAAAAGTCTAAAAGGTCCAAGCATAAACTTTCACAAAATCTCCAGAAACCCGTTAAGCAGTCTCCCTGCATACGTTCACATTGTAAATCTGCTAGTTCAAAGAATTTAAAACTCTCTTCTATAGCCGGCTCATCCGATTCCGATTCATCTACTCCACGAATTAGTCGATCCTGCAGTCCCGATGAAATATCGGGCGTCTCCTCGAATGCTGCTCCTTCATGTACCGGTTCTGTTATATCCGAAACAAACAAAATTGATGTCGCATGCAAACCTATCTGTCGAAAAAAAGCCTCGCCTCGGCCCGAAATTGCCTCAACATTGGACTCTCCATTCGTTTCCATCTCTTCATCGACGTCTCATACTCTCAGTGGTTCCCACGACAGTCATACTTCCGTTGCTCTTTCAAGTCGCAGTAATACGAGTTCCAGTGATCATTATGGCAGTGGAGGTTTAACAGATGATAATTCCAAGCGCACCGCTTCAACCTTGCTAATGACCGATTCGAGTAGTTGTGGTGACCTCTTGGATGCCGCTAAAGCAATGAAACTTGAGAGAGGCGACTGGAATATCTTTGCAGCTCTTGCAGGCCATCAATCTACACCTAAGCCCAGTGATGATCTGGGAAATACATTGACAGACTTAAGTCAGCCTCATATTTCACCTGAAGCTTCGGTGGGGCACGACACTATTGGCGTTTGTGCTGTTCCTTTAGGGAAAGATTGCTTGGATGTTGACGACGAGTTGCCTTCTCTGGAGAAGCATGAAGAAGAGGAGGATGGGGAGCTCGAGAGTCCTGATCAGAAGCCGTTACTTGGTGATGATTCACTTTCTCTTAATGAAAGCGGGACTCTGATGATGAGACGACACAGCGAATTTAAAGGTCTTTCCAATTATGAAGAGGATGATCTCCCACCTCCTGTGGTTTCAGCTATCGATAGTAACAGCGGTGAATCTGTTTCCAGTACCCAAGCAGTTTGTACAGTTTGTACTAGCGAAGTTATAAAGGATGTTGTATATGATAGCTGTCTCCCGTTGAATCCTACTATTACTGCTACTGAACTTCCTGATACTGAACCTATTGAAACTTCCAAAAGATGCCAATTAGATATCTCTACTGCCTCATCTGGTTTCACTTCAAGAGATTCATCTGACTCTGATTCTCCTTCCGAGGCACTTGATCGATTTTGTACCACAGAAAAAAGCGATGAAGTCAAATTATCAACATTTGAGTCTGTCTCCATCGCACAATCCACAACAGAGTCATTACCCTCTCAGCAAGTTTTCTTCGCCCAAGAGGTATCCTATTCGCCATCTTTGCCTTCTTCCTCGACTGTAGGCATTACACTAGCTGCCACTGATCCAGAATCAGATCAAGCTAGTATTGGCCAGACGTTACCTAATTCTCAAGGTAGTTTGGTGGCTGATGCAACTACGAAGCCTAATATTTGTCTTGGGTCCGCAGATTTGAGTGGGGGGGCTCTTTTAAGCACTAATTCGACCACTGTGGATGCGACTGTCTTGTTGACCAGTTCGACCCACTTGATGAATTTGTCGCCTGCTCAGCCTCAACATCCGCAACAAGTATCTTTACTTCAAGCAGAAATCGCCACAAATTCCTCGAAGACTCTCAAAGATGAAGAACGACCTGTACAATCGGTCAATCAGCAAGCTATTTCTCAGAAGCCCCACCAACAGCGCATCGCTCTCCTCATGACTACCGCACCTCAGGTCACATCTGCTGGAATCACTTCATCAGTTGTCGCTACTAGAACGACTGTAAATGCTTTGCTTAGTACTCCATTTGTGATAACTACCGCACCCATCACTCAGCGTCAAGGCGTGACGAGTACCGTTGTATGTCCTCCTATCACAATGTCCAGTTTACCTTCCGTTCATCCTAATCCGTCTCAGAAAACTAGTACCAAATTATCTGAGCAGCGAGTCACTACGCTGGTAACTTCAATAGTAAATACACCTTTAATGACAGTTAACACTACTTCAACTCAACGCAAGCCACAACAATCTCCGTCACAGCAACTTGCAGGCCGTTCTCCAAACCCGGCACCTTCAGCCCCCCTCGTAGTTATCAACCATCAATCAACTTCCTTGCCAATCACTTCCACTAGTCCTATCTCAGTGTCTGCCTCAATTGTTTCTACTACACTAAATGGACAACAAATTCCTCCTTCTTCTGGACCTGTTGCACCGGTACGGATTCATTCGCAGCACTATCCTTTGCCCCCACCCCAGCCACCAAATGGACCGGCTTCAACTTCGGATCTCACTACCTACGTCAAGCGGGTCATTGAGCGCGTCAAACAGGAAAAAGATGAGGAAATCCTGAAGCATCAGCGCACAGGTGGGGCCCATTCGAATTCAAGTGATCGGGTCAAGCGCTCTCGGCGATGTCCACCTCAAACTGCCCCCATAGGTCATTCCGCCCAGGCCACTTCCATTAATACACCCGCTACCTCCATGATACCCACTCCCATTGCTCCCATGCCTTCTATACCAGGAGTCAACTTGTGTAATAAACCAGCCGGCTCTCCTACGTTGCCGGCAGCTGCTCTAAGTCCTAAATTGCCTGCTGTCCAAACTTCTCAAAGTGGCCCAACAAGGCGACGTTCGGCAGGGGCTTCTGCAGCGGCTGGTGATACCTCCACCCTTCCTACTGGAGGCGACCCCTATGAACCAAATTTTGATGATGACTCCGTGGCGGCTGCAAGAACTCTAGCAACACCAGAATCCTCTAAAACCACACCTCTTTCTGTTTCTCCCGCCGGGCCCACACCCAGTACGATTGGGACATTAGCTCCGACGCGCGACTCAATCGAAGAGATAATTGATGCTGTTAGCCGGGGCCATTTTGATGAAGAAGAGTATATCCAGAAGCTCATAGGTGGACAGTTTACTGCCGGTCTTGGTGGATTCAATAGTTTAGCTTGTATTTCTTCCACGTCTGTGAACCTCTCTGCTACAAGTGATAGCCCTACCACCTCGGCTAGTACAAGTTCACAAGGCTCAATGGGCACTGTCTCAGCTGGGCATCATTCCGGGACTCGCCAAATAGCTATAACATCTTCGGATACACCGGTCACCACATCAATCGCTTCTCCGATATCTTCGGTAAGTCAGTTTTTTTTCAAAAATATACTTTAAGACCTGAAAAATTGATATTTTATGTTACGCATTTGCCATACCTGTTTACAAAAATCAAAAAAATTCCGGTGAATTCGCCTTCCACATCAAGCTCGACTGCCTTACCATTTTCATTAGGTATCCATTTGAATATTTTTCCCCGTCTTATGGAATGCTGACTCATTCAATCTTTATTATAATATTACTTTATTTTTTCAATCTATATTTCATAACATACTTTGACTCTTTCCAGGCAAATGCGCTGATCCCTTCTCCTGCCCTCGGTATACTCACGGTTATTTCTTCTGATGGGTCTTCAGCTCCGATATTGGCGACAA